GCCATTGCACTCCAGCCTGGGCGACACAGCGAGACTCTGTCTCAAAAAAGAAAAAAAAAATTAATCTAACAGAAAACAGGAAAAAAGCAATGAAAAACTATACTACAGACAATAGTTGACTGAAAATAAAAATTTAGCATTAACTTTCATTCTTATATCTTTAATTTTTGTGTATCTGAGTTTTTACTCGATGGTTTAATTAACCAGAACGAGAAAGAACATGCTATTTTTATGACTGTGTCCCATGGAAATGTAAACATAAATGGATCCAAATGCCAAACTAGTGAGGATTTTTTTGATCACTATGGTTGTCATGAATAAGTTTTGTGCTTTTTCAAAAGCAGTTTTTTCCTACAATGTCATTTCCTGCTTCTCTGGCTCTGATTTTCAATAAATTGATAAATTATAAATCTTGTTTTCCTCTGATTTTATTTGTTTATTCTTTAGAGATGGAGTTTCATTGATTACTCTGGAATGCAATGTGGCAATCTTGGCTCACCACAACCTCTGTCTCCCAGGTTCAAGAGATTCTCCTGCCTCAACCTCCCAAGTAGCTGGGATTACAGGCATGTGTCACCACACTGGCTAATTTTGTATTTTTAGTAGAGACGGGGTTTCTTCATGTTGGTCAGGCTGGTCTCGAACTCCCAACCTCAGGTGACCTGCCTGCCTTGGCCTACCAAAGTGTTGTGATTACAGGCATGAGCCACCCCGCCTGGCCTTCCTCTTATTTTGGTTTAGCTAAAATGTTGACTGGCAAGGGAGAGGATGGCCATTTATAAACCCTGCATCTCTCTAAAAGCATAATTTGCATTTTCCTTAATCTGATTAAGTTGACACCAAATATGAGAAACAACTTTCATAAAGAACAAAAGAAAATTTGCTTGGGCCAGGCGCGGTGGCTCAAGCCTGTAATCCCAGCACTTTGGGAGGCCAAGGCGGGTGGATCACGAGGTCAAGAGATCAAGACCATCCTGGTCAACACGGTGAAACCCCATCTCTACTAAAACTACAAAAAATTAGCTGGGCATGGTGGCGCGTGCCTGTAATCCCAGCCACTCAGGAGGCTGAGGCAGGAGAATTGCCTGAACCCAGGAGGCGGAGGTTGCGGTGAGCCGAGATCGCGCCATTGCACTCCAGCCTGGGTAACAAGAGCGAAACTCCGTCCCTAAAGAAAAAAAAAAAAAAAAAAGAAAATTTGCTTGAATTTACCCTTCTTTATTGAGGGTAAGAGGCAATAGGTACAACTTTTTAACTTATTTTTTGAATGTTCCTATTAACCATCACCGTATTTTACAAAATTAAACTATCAAAGAACTAATTTAGTTCAGTTTATTATTTAATTTATTCGACAAACGCTTATTAAGTGGCAACTAGGTCCCAAGTACTGTTCTAACTACTGACAATACAGATGTACATGAACAAAACAAAAATCTCTGGCATCCTGGAGTTTACATTCTGTGGGAGTAGAGATAAAGGATGAATACATTACATAGAATGTCAGCTAGTAATAAGTGTTACGGAGAAGAAGCAGGAATGGAGGATAAAGTGTGTGTTTGGGGTACTGTAATTTTAAATAGCGCTGTATGGAAATGAAAGGTGGTATTTCAGTCAAGATTTTCAAACTGTGGCTGGGTGCAGTGGCTCATGCCTGAAATCCCAGCACTTGGGGAGGCCAAGGTAGGCCAAGGGTAGATCACTTGAGGTCAGGAGTCTGAGACCAGCATGGCCAACACGGCAAAACCCTATCTGTATAAAGAAATACAAAAATTAAGCCAGGCGCGGTGGCTCACGCCTGTAATCCCAGCACTTTGGGAGGCTAAGGCAGGCGGATCACCTGAGGTCAGGAGTTCGAGACCAGCCTGACCAATATGGTGAAACCCCGTCTTAAAAAAAATAAAAATTAAAAAATTAAAAAAATAAAAAGAAATATAAAAATTAGCTGGGCATGGTGGTAAACACCTGTAGTCCCAGCTACTCTGGAGGCTGAGGTGGGAGGATCACTTGAGCCTGGCAAAGTTGAGGCTTCAGTGAGCTGTGATAGCATCACTGCACTCCAGCCTCTCCACAGAACTCCCGTATTAAAAACGCCTCTACATTTCATTGTATGTAAATTATACCTCAATTCAAAAACAAAGTATGAATAGTACAGTCGCCACTTCCTTTTATAGATGAAGAAAAACAAAGGCTCACTCAGACTTGCTAAAGGCTTTGATAACTTGCATTATTCTTATTCAAGTGTACACAGCCAGTTTCAGACAAAGCTTCTTCCAAAGACCTATCCCCTCAATGACACCAATCATCCATGATTTTTTTTTTTTGAGATGCAGTCTAGCTCTGTCAAGGCTGGAGTTCAGTGGCACAATCTCGGCTCACTGCAACCTCCCCCTCCCAGGCTCAAGCGATTCCCCTGCCTCAGCCTCCTGAGTAGATGGGATAACAGACACACACTACCATCCTCAGCTAATTTTGTATTTTTAGTAGAGACAGGGTTTCACCACATTGGCCAGTATGGTCTCGATTCCTGACCTCATGATCCACTCACCTTGGCCTCCCAAAGTGCTGGGATTACAGGCGTGAGCCACCGGCGCCCAGCCTCATCCATTTTGCCATTTCAAGTGACGGAGGTGGTTTTGGAGCTACAAGAAAGCCAAAATGCCACTTAATCTAAACTAGATTCCTGCCCCAGTGCAGAACCAATCAAGACAGGGTCCCTGTCTTTCCTGGACCATAGGATTTGTGCTGAAGAGGAGAGGAGTGGGAGCCGCAGACTGGATGAAGAACAAGGAGTTGTTTTCTATATTTTTAAAGTTCTTAGGCCGGGCGCAGTGGCTCAAGCCTGTAATCCCAGCACTTTGGGAGGCCGAGGCGGGTGGATCACGAGGTCAAGAGATCGAGACCATCCTGGTCAACATGGTGAAACCCCGTCTCTACTAAAAATACAAAACATTAGCTGGGCATGGTGGCGCGTGCCTGTAATCCCAGCTACTCAGGAGGCTGAGGCAGGAGAATTGCCTGAACCCGGGAGGCGGAGGTTGCGGTGAGCCGAGATCGTGCCATTGCACTCCAGCCTGGGTAACGTGAGTGAAACTCCGTCTCAAAAAAAAAAAATAAAAAAAAATAAATAAATAAAGTTCTTCAGTTAAGAAAATCAGCAATTCCAATAGCCTGATCTTACTAGACAGGTCTTTTCCTCACTACTATGTGAGGTCAATTCTGTTCATTTGCATTGGAGGTGATCATACAGGAATTCCAAATTAATAACCTCATGTGTTGACTTACCAGATTGGACACTCTAAGATTTTCTGCATAGCATTAAGGACATTTTGTACTTCTTCAACACGAACAGCAGATAAATCCATTTCTTTCTGTTCCAATAAACTTTAACATATTAGAAAAACATATGTATTTATATTTTTAAAAAATTTATAAAATGACAACTTCATCTTTTCATTTAAAAATAAGGTAAATTTAAGATTTGGAAGGTTTTAGAATATAAGCCATAGAGCTAATTACAAAAGCCTTTATTTTTAAAGATTCTAGAAGTTGCTTTTTGTAATTAGACAACATAAATTCTGTATTTTTTCACATATTGCTTCTAACCCCTTGGGTATTTTCCTTTCTCCAATAAAGAGAAAGCCACAGGGGAGTGACTGACTGGGTAGGTGGTGGCAGCCTTAGCTTTTTCCAATGTTTCTGGCTGTTTTCTTCTTGCATAAAACCGAAACCAACAACGACAAAACCAACACCAATCAACACCCCCCCCACCCCCCCCCCCCCCCCCCCCCCCCCCCCGCCCCCCCCCCTTCCCAGTAACCTGATCTCATCTCAGGATTCGCCTTAAGCACATCCCTGCAGCATCTGTTACTACTGATGCTCCTCTACTTCCCTCTTGCGCTTTATCAATATCACAAATGGATCCAGTTCGTAAGAGTTCTCCCTCCCACAAAATCCTGTCTCCTCCCTTTCCCAGATGTGTTCCTGCCACCTCTTCTTCCAAAAGTTCCCAACCTCTCATATATACCAGCCGGTGTTTTTTTTTTTTTTTTTTTTTTTTTTTTGAGACAGTCTGGCTCTGTCGCCCAAGCTGGAGTGCAATGGCGCGATCTCGGCTTACCGCAACCTCTGCCTCCCGGGTACAAGCGGTTCTCCTGCCTGAGCCTTCTAAGTACCTGGGATTACAGGCGTGCACCACGACGCCCGGCTAATTTTTGTATTTTTGGCAGAGACGGGGTTTCACCATGTTGGTCAGGCTGGTCTCGAACTCCGTGATCCACCAACCTCAACCTTCCAAAGTGCTGGGATTACAGGCGTGAGGCACTGACCCCGGCCACCAGCCGGTGTTCTTATGGACATGTTGTTCCCCTCGAGGTACATTCCAGTTCCTATAACTAGGATTCCCCCTCGGACACACCGTGCCCCCTTCCTTATCCTCAGTGCTTCCCTCGCGATCTACAAACTGCCCCCCTCCCCAGGGTTCACAACGCCTTACGCCTCTTAGGTTCCACGGTCTCCCCACCCCCAGCCTAAAGAATACCTGTTCCGCTTCGGAAATTCACTCTCGCCCGCCAGTCCCCCGGAGCATCCCTTGGGACCCTGTCCCTTTCCCGGAGTTCTATTACCTTTACCCAGAGCAGAGCGTATAGGCGTCGGGGCCTCTTGGGGCCAGGGTCCCAGTTATCTGAGAAACCTCACGCCCCGTCCACCGTTCACAGTCTCAGCGAGCTCACGCCGCGCAGTCGCAGTTTTAATTTATCTGTAATTCCCGCGCTTTTCCGTTGCCACGGAAACCAGCGGGCTATCACTGAACATCAGCCTCTCAGAATTCAAGACGCATCAGAGGAAGGGCGAGACAGAAAGAGCCAAGCGTCTCTCGAGGCTCTGGATTGGCCACCCAGTCTTCCCCCGAATGGCGTAAAAAGAAAGAGACGGAAGAGGAGGCATTCTACCTGGGTTTTCCAGAAAGCGCCCGCCCTCTCTCCTCTACGCTAACGCTTGCAGATTATTGCGTCACAGTATTTGCTGTACGAAGGCCAGAATCACTACCAGAGACCTGAATGTGAGCGCAAGATAGTGTTCAAAGCAGTCGTAAGAGGTTCCATTCCCCCACTCTTTCCGTTCCAATGGAGGTCTCCTGTTTAGGTAAATAAAAGGATTGTGGTGGGGGGACGGTGGTGGAAGAGAAGAACTACGATTTCCACCATGCATTGCGGAATGAAAGGCCTTCGCCACAGTGTTCCTTGAAAACTGTAGTCTTATGGAGCGGACCATCCAATACCGAAGCGGGCACAATTCTCACGGAAATCCACTGGATAAATTGGAGACCTCCGAGCGCTTATACATGTCAACAGTTATGGATTGGAGTGTTGTTTTTTTATCTTGAGAGCGGAGACTAGGCCAAAAAAAGAAGATACCTATAACTCCTAGGAAGACTACAATTCCCATCCAGCCCCACGAGTCCTCCAAGGTTAGTGGCCTGTGGGAACGCAGGGGCTACCGAATTTGCCTGGGGAAGGGGAAATCCGCTTTGACCCACGTCTGCACACTCGTAGTTCCGCCCCTCGGCCCCAATGTTTGTTATTGTTGTGCGGATACAGGTTGCTTCTGCCCCGCCCCCGTCGACATAATCTCCACCAATCAATGGGGTGGTCGTTTTGAGGGACAAATGGCAAGAGCCAATCGTCTTGGCGGAAATTCAGAGAAACAAGGGACTAGTTACTGTCTTTATCCGCCATGTTAGATTCGCCTCCACAGGGATAGCAGCAGAGCTGGCTGCGGACGGTCCTTGCATTGGCCTCTGGCAGGCGCCCCCCGGGGGCGGGAAGCTGGTAAGGAAGCAGCTGCGGTTACCTAGGGGTCGGGTCACGTCACAGTGAGAGGGTTTGGGGAAGTTCAAGGGAGGAATCGTGCAAAGAAGACGGGGCACTTTTTCCGTGTTTCGGGACACCTAATCTTTTTAGTGATTGGATGAGAGAGCCCTTCTTGTTCAGAGGGACCGAGTGGGCGAAAAGCGCTGGAGAGTTGGAGGGTCTGTGGTTCAGAACATCCGGCTTCAACTGGTGGAAGGCCACGACTCCCTAGTAGAAAGAGGGCCTAGGCAAGGAAATTGAGAGGGAGTCCTCGGGGTGGTGACACCGTCTTGGGAACATGGAGTGCTAGGAAACGATAACTGATAGACTAGGATGAAGTCTGCAAGTAAAAATATGACACTACCCACACGTCCTTCTCATCCCGTCCTCCTTTCTTCGAGACCCTCTTAAAGCGACCCCTTTGGTTAGGGACCTTTCGGTTTTGGAAAGACACTGTTTTTCCTTTTTGTCAAACACCCAGTTTTCAGGACACACTTATTTTATTTTATTTTTTATTTTTTTGAGACGGTCTCGCAGTGTTGCCCAGGCTGGTCTTGAACTCCTGAGCTCAAGCAATCCTCCTGCCTCGACCTCTCAAAGTCCTGGTATTACAGGCATGAACCACCGCTCCTGACCTCAGGTCACACATTTTAAAGCCTGGATAACTTGGCTTGTACAGGCCTCTGGTGGAGACAGTAATCAAAGCTCAGGTTTTCAGGTCTGTTTCATTAAAGGGATTTTGTTGAGACCGGAAGAAAAAAAAATCGACGTAGAGGAAAAGCTAACTTGTGTCAAGCAAAGGTGAGTCAGTGGCATGGACTTACAATAATGCCAGTTATGAAAGCCCTAGGACCCAGCTATCTGTCTTACTGGCTTCAGACCTAAGGGGCAGATGGGGTTAACCATAGCTTTGGTATTTACAGAAGTTCAAGATTAATGTTCTTGCTGAAAGAATCTTTTTACATATCAGCCAAAGATAGTTCCTTATGAAGACCTGGATATGGTCCAGCTAAGCTAGAATCTCCCACTTCCTGTTTTCTCTTAGTTGGCCGACCAGCTGGAGGAGCTCCAGAGTATCTAAATTAATTTCCAATTGTGTAATTTGAGAAAGAGAGGAAGATTCATTTCCTTAAGTGTGTTTCTTGAAGTTAGAAAGTGGTATTTCAGAATATCCACTTTTGGCAGACTGAGTCAGTCACTTCATTTCCCTGATTTTTTGCCTAAGGTCCTGGGGAATTGACAAAAATTCTGCCCAAATCTTAAGGACCCCAAGAATTACATTTCACATGAATGAATACTAGATGTCGGCAGGATTGCTGTTAACACGGTAGTAGTATTTTGGTGGTCAACTTAATTCTAGGTAGAAACAAAGAATGAAGAAAATTGAAGGATAATCGTCTTAGGGTTTCAGAAAAGTGCCTGATCTTCACAGAGTTCAGAGTCCTTAAAATGACAGTCTTAATTGTAGTGTTTTACAGGGCAATGCATTACATTGTGGAAAACAGTTCAGGTTTATGGTTCTACAGATTGGTTTATTATTTAAAAATTTTTTTTTAACTTAATTTTTTAAGGAAATGGAGTCTAGCTTTGTTTCCCAGGCTGGTCTTGAACTCCTAGCTCATGATCTTCCTGCCCCAGCCTCCCAAAGTGCTCGGATTACAGGCAGGAGCCACTACACCTGGCCAATTTTTTTTTTTTTTTTTAATTTTAATTTTTATTTTTAAGACAGAGTCTTGCTCTGTCACCCAGGTGGAAGTGCAGTGGCATGATCTTGGGTCGCTGCAACCTTGCCTCCCAGGTTCAAACAATTCTCATGCCTCAGCCTCCTGAGTAGCTGGGATTACAGGCCTGTGCAACCACACCCACCTAACTTTTGCATTTTTAGTAGAGACGGTTTCACCACGTTGGCTAGGCTGGTCTCGAACTCCTGGACTCAAGCGATCTGCCTGCCTCTGCTTCCCAAAGTGCTGGGATTAAAGGCATGAGCCACTGTGCTGTGGATTACCTGAGTCGGGAGTTCGAGACCAGCCTGACCAACATGGAGAAACCCCGTCTTTATTTTAAAAAAATAGTTAGCTGGCCGTGGTGGCACATGCCTGTAATCCCAGCGACTCAGGAGGTTGAGACAGGAGACTCGCTGGAACCCGGGGAGTGGAGGTTAAGGTGAGCCAAGATCATTCCAGTGTAGTCGAGTCTGGGCAACAAGAGTGAAACTCAGTCTCAAAATTGATCCTCTTTTTTTTGATCCTCAAAAAAAAAGAATTGTCCATTTCTTAGGCATGCTAATGGTATCTAGACTGTTTTTTAAAAATTCTTATCTTTTAGAGGTACATACTCAATTATTAATGGATAAAAGGATGGATGTCTGTCAAAATAATCTAGTAAGGAAAGAGTATTGCTGTAACCTTTTAGTCACAGCAAATTGGTCCTGAGTTGGTAATTATGGAAGAAGCTAGCTTATGGGTCCATAGGGATTCATTATATTATACTCTCTACTTTTGTATAGGTTTAAATTTTCCCATAAAAATATTTTATAAAATAGGCTGGGTATGGTGGCCCACCCCTGTAATCCCAGCACTTTGGGAAGCCAAGAGGGGCGAATCACTTGAAGTCAGGAGTTTGAGACCAGCCTGACCAACACGGTGAAACCCTGTCTGTACTAAAAGTACAAAAATTAGTTGTCGTGGTGGCATGCACCTGTAGTCCCAGCTACTCTGGAGGCTGAGGCAGGACAATTGCTTGAACCCAGAAGGCGGAGGTTGCAGTGAGCCGAGATCACACCACTGCACTCCAGCCTGGGCGACAGAGCGAGATTCTGTCTCAAAAAAATAATTAATTAATTAAATAACATAAAATAATTAGATTATTATAGTTTGGTAAAAACATTAGTTCACTATGGTCAATTCAGTGTTGGGGGCAAAAGTGGCGGATGCAGGGGTATATATGAAATGAGGATAGCCCTGAGTTGATTATTGGTTTAACTAGGTGTTTATTACTCTCCGCTTTTATATATGTATGTTTGAAACCTCCCATTAGATTGTAAAAAAAAACATAGTAACTTGGGCCGGGCACGGTGGCTCACTCCTGTAATCCAGCACTTTTGGGAGTCTGAGGCAGGCGAGTAAGAGGTCAGGAGATTGAGACCATCCTGGTCATGGTGAAACCCCATCTCCACTAAAATACAAAAAATTAGCTGGGTGTGGTGGCACTTGTCTGTAATCCCAGCTACTCACAAGGCTGAGGCAGGGGAATCGCTTGAGCCTGGGGAACCGAGGTTGCAGTGAGCCGAGATTGTGCCACTGCACTCCAGCCTAGCGGCAGATCAAGACTCCGTCTAAAAAACAAAATACATAATAACTTGGATGGAAGATTTTGAATGCTACCTCTGTGTAGTTTCTTGGCCAGTATTTTGGCCTATAAGTTGTTAAAACTGATAGAAAATCTAGGTTCTCAAGTTAGGAAAAGCCTCCTGCAAGAAAAATGTAGAACGTCACTCTCAAGTCAAACAAGAATACAAGTTCCCTGAAGGCATTTCTTACCCATCTTGATAGCTTCTGCTACTAGTACATATTTGTTTAATCAAGCAGTCATCATAAAGTACTGATAAATATTTAAGGATTTTACAAATGCTAGATGATTTCTGAGAATATGGTCAAAATTTAAATACTCTCAGCATACTTTTTTTTTTTTTTGAGACAGAGTCTTGCCCTTTTACCCAGGCAGGAGTGCAGTGGTGCAATCTCGGCTCACTGCAACCTCCACCTCCCAGGTTCAAGCAATTCTCCTTCCTCAGCCTCCGTAGTAGCTGGGATTTGGGATTACAGGTGGACATCACCACGCCCGCCTAATTTTATTGCATACTATTATTTCTAACATGGAAGTTCCTAATAACTTTAAGAATAATTTTTGTGACTTAAGTACAAGTCTTTATGGCATGGTTTTAGCCTATCTTTCTTTTTCGAAACAATTCTTATTTTACAGTGATGGTAAGTTCCGTAAGAGCCAGGACAGTATTTCTCTTATTCATCGTTATGTCTCCCAAGCCTAGACCATATTGGATCCTCACAAGTATTTGCTTAGTGAACTTTTAATTCAACATATAGAATCCTTTCTAATGTGTTTTTTCTCTCTCTCCTGCTAACCTTCTCAACCCTAGGCCTACAACATGGAACCACAAGTTACTCTAAATGTGACTTTTAAAAATGAAATTCAAAGTTTTCTGGTTTCTGATCCAGAAAATACAACTTGGGCTGATATCGAAGCTATGGTGAGTGTTACTTTATTTTGTTTCTCCACGATTTAAGCATGGTTATTTTTTCCAAAGGTAGCTATTTTTAGCAATGTTGTTTCATAGCTGTAAAGTCTGTCATAGTTACCATTTCTGGGCCTTTTGGAAAACTGCTTTTGACAGGCGTTCAGTAATCATATATGAGATGTGCCCCGATAAAGGGAACAAACAAATAAGCTTCCTTTTGAAGATTTTAGAAAGGGAAGATAATATCGTTTTTAGTGAGATAGGATTTAGAAAACCTATTAATTTTAGAAACAGCATGAGGAATGAATTGGTGTGGGCTCCACCCCAACCAGGTCCCAAGGAAATGTTCTCTTGTGTGAGGATATGACTTGTGCTTTGTGAGAGACTATTGATTGTTTTTATTGCTAGGTCAGAGGTTGAGTATCTCAAAGTTGAACAGCAAAAACTTCCATACCTGCTTAAACAGCAGTTATCTGTTCCGTTTTTTTGCTAATGCTTTTCCTTCTCTTGGTTTGCCCTTTGTACTTTTCTGTTTTTCTTCAGTTTGCAGTGGTGAATGTTTTACTTCCACTATTGACTGTGTTTCTCTACTGAAACCCTTTGGTAAAAATCTACTTTAACCTGGTTATATCTGATGGTAACTAAAAAGGAAAAGAAATGGTAGAAAAACCTTAAAAGATGATCTAATGTAGTTGTCTGCCTTCCAGCAAATACCTGTTTATACTGCCCTGACAGTGACAGTGAGACCCATCCCAAAAAACAAAAAACAAACAAACAAAAAAACGACTGGATTCAGAAAGAAGTTGGGTCTTGTTTGTCAAAAGATGTGAAAATAACAGTTATCTTTTTTGTCCTAATAGTTAAATGAGCTGACAGCTTCCCTTTTTTCTTCATTGTAAATTTTAAATTGTAAAAGTGTAATACATGCCCACTTTAAGTAGAGAAACAATCTCAAGCAGTTAATATACCTCTACTCTCCCTCCCCGCATCTTTTATTCGCACCTGTTTTGGGTAACCAGTGTTAACAGCCCTGTATGTACTTTTTCCATGTTCATTCCCTTTTCCATGTTCATGCAGATATCATACTAGGATCATACTATAAACATTATTCAGCTGGGTACAGTGGCACACACCTGGAATCCCAGCACTTGGGGATGCTGAGGCAGGTGGTCCACTTGAGCTCAGGAGTTTGAGACCAGCCTGGGCAACTTGGTAAAACCCCATCTCTATAAAAAAAAAAAAAAATACACACAGACACACACACACACACACACACACACACACACACTCTCTCTCTCCCTCTCTCTCTCTCTCTCTCTCTCTCTCTCTCTCTCTCTCTCTCTCTCTGAGTTGGGCGGATTGCTTGAGTGCGGGAGGTTGAGGCTGCAGTGAGCTGAGATCGAGCCACTGCACTCCAGCCTGAGCGACAGAGTGGGACCCACCTCAAAAAAAAAAAAAAAAGGCGGGGGGGCTGGGTGTGGTGGCTTATGCCTATAATCCCAGCACTTTGGGAGGCCAACACAGGCAGATCACAGGGTCAAGAGATTGAGACCATCATGGCCAACATGGTGAAACCCTGTCTCTACTAAAAATACAAAAATTAGCTGGGCATGGTGGCACGTGCCTGTAGTCCCAGCTACTTGGGAGGCTGAGGCAGGAGAATTGCTTGAACCTGGGAGGCGGAGGTTGCAGTGAGCCAAGATTGTGCCACTGCATTCCAGCCTGGCGCCTAGTGACAGACCGAGACCCTGCCTCAGGAAAAAAAAAAAAGGTTTTCAGGTTTTTTTCTTCTTATCATGAAATTACAGAAGATAACTTATATGCTATTCTACAAGATAAACTGTCCTATACAAATGTGAGATTAATGGGTCACAAAACATTTTATTTGAAATTTTAATAGATTCTGCCAAATGCTTTGCGGAACAATTGTTGCAGCACCCAGAAATATCTGACAGTGTCCTGAATTTTTGCCAACACTGGATGTTATGGCTTTAAAAAACATTTGCTGTTCCCTACCCCATGTCCCCCCAAGGAAAAACATAACACACAAAATTTGCTGTTCTGATAAGATAGCATCTCATTGCTTCAATTTGCAATTTTCTAACCACCAGAAGGTTTGAAAGTCTTCTGATGTATTTGTTAGGTGTTCTGATTTCCTCTTCTATGAATTTTATGTATATTTTTACCTGTGTTATTAATTGTATCATTAGCAGTTTTGCGGATGCTCTGGGTGTGTTGCAGATATTAACCCTTTGTTATGGGTTGTTATGGTTGTTCATTGTTTGTCTTTTGATTTTGTGGGTTTTTTAACTATATAAAATATTTAACATTTATGTAATGAAATATGCCCAACTCATCCTTTGATTTCTGTGTACATTATAACCTGCCTTTAAAAAATGTGTATTTCTTTTGTAGGTAAAAGTTTCATTTGATCTGAATACTATTCAAATAAAATACCTGGATGAAGAAAATGAAGAGGTAAAATATATTATGGTACTTATTGCTAGGTATTCAGAATAGAAATCTTATTTCTCCAGTGATATGGGCTTTAATAATTCAAAATAGTGTTTATCTCATTTGTGTGGTGGTTTAAATGTATTTGATAATTGAATATTCTAAGAAGACTTGCAGCATCTGAGATGGAGTTGAAAAATGGAGAAGCAGCACTGAAGAATATCTCAGAGATAACTTTTACAATTTTTAAAAAAACAGAAACAGGGTCTCACTATGTTGCTCAGGACAGAATTCCTAGGCTCAAGCAGTCCTCCCACCTCAGCTTCCCAAAGTGTCGAGATTACAGGTGTGAGACACCATGTCTGACCTTAAATAACAATTTTTTTTTTTTTTTTTTTTTTGAGACAGAGTCTCACTCTGTCGTCCAGGCTGGAGTGCAGCATCATGATCTCAGCTCACTGTAACCTCCACCTCCCGGGTTCAAGAGATTCTCCTGCCTTAGCCTCCTGAGGAGCTGGGATTACAGGCATGTGCTACCACGCTTGGCTAATTTTTTTTTTATATATTTTTAGTAGTGATGGGGTTTTACCATGTTGGTTAGGCTGGTCTCGAACTCCCAACCTTGTGATCTGCCCACCTCAGCCTCTCAAAGTGCTGGGATTACAGGCATGAACCACCACACCCAGCCAAATTTTTGTATTTTTAGTAGAGGCGGGGTTTCACTATGTTGCCCAGGCTGGTCTCAAGCAGTCTGCCTGTCTCGGCCTCCCAAAGTGCTGGGATTACAGGCGTGAGCTACTGCTTGGCCAAGATAACTTTTAAAATTAGATAGTGACATTAAGTTCACATATACCACAAGCTGCTGTTTAGTTTATAATAATTCAAATATAATGGCTAAGCTTTTTTTTTCCTCTTTTTTTTTTTTTTTTTTTTTGGGGGGGTGGAGTTTCGCTCTTGTTACCCAGGCTGGAGTGCAATGGCGCGATCTCGGCTCACCGCAACCTCCGCCTCCTGGGTTCAGGCAATTCTCCTGCCTCAGCCTCCTGAGTAGCTGGGATTACAGGCACGTGCCACCATGCCCAGCTCATTTTTTGTAGTTTTAGTAGAGACGGGGTTTCACCGTGTTGACCAGGATGGTCTCGATCTCTTGACCTCGTGATCCACCCGCCTCGGCCTCCCAAAGTGCTGGGATTACAGGCTTGAGCCACCGCGCCCGGCCCTCTCTTTTTTTTTTTTTAAAGGCTGGAGTGCAGTGGCATGATCACAGCTCACTACAATCTAGATCTCCTGGGCTCAAGGAGTCCTCCCATCTCAGCCTCCCGGGTAGCTAGGATATGCGTTGCATCCGGCAAAATTTTTTAATTCTTTGGAGGGATGGGGTCTCACTTTGTTGCCCAGGCTAATGGCTAAGCTTTATTGAATGGTTACAGTGTGTCAGACTAGCAGCAATACCATGTTCTAAGTACATTATTATCATCTCTATTTTATCCATGAGGAAAATGAGGCACAGCGAGGTGAAATAACTTGCCCAAAAGCACAAAAACTTGGAAGTAGTGAAGTAGGGATTCAGTCCATACCCTATGGCTATAGAACTCAAGCTCCTAACCATTATATTGTACTGCTTCTTAATGTACCTGAAATAAAGGAGGGCACAGTAGATGAGCAATACAATTTCTTAAATACTATTCATGACTAGCAAGTGATATGGAAAAGCTGAACCCCAGGCCTGAGTTTTTGTCTGTCCTAAGGAGCTGGTTCTAGTAACAGAAATGCTCAATTGATGATACACTTATAATTCATTTTTTTTTCCTTTTATAGGTATCCATCAACAGCCAAGGTGAGTACCTGACAGAGTCTGTTCAGCCTTATTAAAAGCCTTAATCTGCTCATTGAGGCATTTCTATTTAGAGGATGCCAGTCCTCTGAAATTAATGTGCCTCCCAGTTCAACACATATAAGTATTCCCATGGTGATGCATTTGTTTCTGACTTGGTATATGTGTTAATATCAACTTACAAACAAGTGATATTCCAGAAGTTTATTAGATGTTGGGAGCCTGGAATACATTTTCGCATAGGAGCCATGTTATAGTTGAAAGTGAGTTTCCCAAGATAGCCCCTAAAATTTTATTTTAATCAGGTGAAATGACAGTATTAACACTGTTTATGAACTCTCTTGAGTCCTGAGCATCATAATGCCTAATGTGAGGGACCTAGGTTGGGATTTTGTAGCTGCAACTCCCCAAGAGTGATGAAAGAGGGATTTAAAGGGAAGAACTGATCTACAGTAGATTCTGTTTGCAACACGAAGGGAGTTTGTCAGCAAAAAGATAGTTGCTGTTCATATATAATAAGCTAAGAATTCTTTAAAGTCAGGATTGACTGTGTGTTTTGAAAATTTTTCTTGTATATATTGCAGGTATACAACATGATATTATGAAATACATACACAGTAATGTATCGCTTAATGACAGGGATACGTTCTGAGAAATGCATCAATTAGGTGATTTGTCAATAGATGGACATCAGAGTGTATTTACACAAACCTAGATGGTATAGCCTACTACACACCTAGTATATATGGTATAACCTATTGCTCCTAGGCTACAAACCTGTAGAGCAGGTTACTGTACTGGATACTATAGATAGTTGGAACACAATGGTATTTGCATATCTAAACACAGAAAAGGTACAGTAAAAATGTGGCATTATAATCTTATGGGATCACCATCATGTATGTGGTTGAAATGTTATATAGTGACGGTTACTATAGTGAAACAAATTAACGTATCCATCATCTCATTATAGCAGTTCATTGCCCTCTCCAGAAAGCAGCCATAATGTACTCATTTAGCAAAAATCATGAATGTAATGTACGATTATTTAACTATATTCTTCATGTTGTACATTCCATCTTTAGGATTGGCTATACTTAATATATGGACTCTTTGCTGCTTTTGTTTTTTTCCTGAGAGTTCATCTTCAGAAGACTTTGGTTCTTAAATAAATGGATGTATACAAAATAATAATTTTAAAATAATAGAATCTTTTGGGGTAGGTGAAGAAGTATCACAGTGTATATTTTTTGTCCTTTTAGGAGAATATGAAGAAGCACTTAAGGTAATCATTATTTAATCTCATTTCAAATAATTTCAAAAATATTATTTTCTTTTTTGAGACAGTGTTGTGCTCTGTCATCCAGGCTGGTGTGCAGTGGCACAGTCTTGGGTTGCTGCACCTCCACCTCCCAGGCTTAAGTGATCCTCCCACCTCAGCCTCCTGAGTAGCTGGGACTACAGACACATGCCACCACGCCTGGCTTTTTGTATTTTTTTGTAGACACAGGGTTTTGCCTTGTTTTCCAGGCTGATCTGGAACCCTTGTACTCAAACAATCTGCCGGCCTTGGCCTCTGAAAGTCTGGGATTATTAGGTAGGAGCCACCACACCCAGCCTAAAATATTTATTGAGTGAAACTGAAACCTGAATTCCATTAGTTGTGGGGAGAAACTAATAAGTGTTTCTTATTAGTGAAGCCTGTTTTTAGGGAGACTGATGAATGGGCGTGACATTCAGCAAAAGGCAATTCATAATGAAAAGGTCCTTCTCAGTTATTGTCCCATTTCATTGCTGGTCTTGGTGCTGCTGTCCTAGTGTTTTAAAAATACAAATAGGCCGGGCGTGGTGGCTCATGCCTATAATCTAAGCACTTTGGAGGCCAAGGCAGGCGGATCACCTGAGGTCGGGAGTTCAAGACCAGCCTGACCAACATGGTGAAACCCCATCTTAAAAAAATAAATAAAAATATGGGCCGGGCGCAGTGGCTCACGCCTATAATCCCAGCACTTTGGGAGGCCGAGGCGGGTGGATCACGAGGTCAAGAGATCGAGACCGTCCTGGTCAACATGGTGAAACCCCGTCTCTACCAAAAATACAAAAATTAGCTGGGCATGGTGGTGCACGCCTGTAATCCCAGCTACACGGGAGGCTGAGGCAGGAGAATGGCTTGAGCCCAGGAGGTGGAGGTTGCGGTGAGCCGAGATCGCGCCATTGCACTCCAGCCAGGGTAACGAGCGAAACTCCGTCTCAAAAATAAATAAATAAATAAATAAAAATAATACAAATACAAATAACACAACCGGGTGCAGTGGCTCACACCTGTAATCCCAGCACTTTGGGAGGCCGAGGCGGGCGGATCACCTGAAGTCAGGAGTTCAAGACCAGCCTGACCAACATGGTGAAACCCCATCTCTACTAAATACAAAAAACTAGCCAGGCATGGTGGTGCATGCCTATAATCCCAGCTACTTGGGAGGCTGAGGCAGGAGAATCGCTTGAACCTGGGAGGCGGAGGTTGCAGTGAGCTGAGATCACGCCATTGCACTCCAACCTGGGCAACAAGAGGGAAA